AAAAAAAAAAAAAATATGCAATAAATAATAAATAACTAGCCGAATAATAATTCTTTAAAATGAAACTTGTTTGACACTCAATTTATCAATGGTAATAACTATTTAAATCATATTTATATGTGTCAATTTCTTGTGCTTCAGAGTAGTCAATCTGCATCTGACATTCAAATCAGACCTACTAAAACTTTTAAAATTACAAAACACTTAATTAACTTAATTTTTAAGTATATTTAACAGTTAATAACTTTTAAATTTCTTATTAGTTTTTTTATTCTTTTTTTTTTTTTGTATATGATATATCAAATTAATCATCTTGCATGAGTTTCGATTTGGAAATATGAAATACATATACAAAATAAATAACTATATTTATATCTATAATAAAAATAGAATTATCTATTAATATTAATTATAAAATAATAAAATTATTTATTAATTAAATAAATTTATCTTCATTATATGATATGAGTTGCAAAATTTTTGAGGTGTGGAGTAAGTCAAGGTCGTCCTATACTCTTTCAACTATTCATTTTCTTCTTCTGTTTGTCAACCATTAGTCAAGCTGATGATCAATACGGCTGAGGAAAGTGCATTTCTACTCAAAGCCCACCCACTGCATCATAGCATTTGGATGTTGCAAGTTCAAATCCATTTCTCTTCATGATGAAGTTGGTTGCATTAAAATCTTGTGTCCTTATTTCATCTTTGTTTGCAGCCCTTCTTCTCCTAACCTTCGAGCCAAGTCGTTGTGCCGCATGCACTGAAACCGAACAACGAGCACTTTTAACCTTCAAACACTCTTTACATGATCCCTCGAATAAGTTGTCTTCTTGGGGGGATGGCAAAGTTAATTGCTGCCGGTGGAAAGGTGTTCTCTGCAGCAGCATCAGCAGCAGCAGCTTAACTGGCCATGTGGAAGGACTTCAACTTCAGAGTGGCTTAAATGGCACAGTGAGCTCTTCTCTGCTTGACCTGAAGCATTTGAGATATCTCGACCTCAGCCGAAACAATTTCCACCAACCGATCCCTTCCTTCATTGGATCACTTGCTAGCCTCGAGTATTTGAATTTATCTCACGCTGAGTTTTACGGAAAGATTCCATATAGTATTGGAAATCTTTCTAAGCTGCACACTCTTAGTTTAGAGGAGACTCGTTCCACACCATCACTATTACAAGCTGATAGTCTGGAATGGTTGTGGGGGCTTTCTAAGCTGGAGCATCTCAACTTGAATGGGGTGAATCTCAGCCAAGCACACGACTGGGAACAGGTTATTTTTAAACTCCCTTCTTTAGTCCACCTTCGTTTAAGCTCTTGCATTCTTAGCGATTCTGCACCTTTGTCGAATGATGTCAATATCAGCCGTTCGAATTTAGATACTCTTGATCTCTCGTCAAACTCCTTTGTCTCGGAATGGATTTTCCGACTCGCCAATCTGAATTTTCTTGATTTGAGTGTCAACTCGTTTGAAGGTCCAATCCCAACAAATGCCAATTTCACAAGACTCCAACACGTTAATCTCTCCGAAAATTATTTCAATTCCACCATTCCGGACTGGCTCTACTCTTGTGAAAACCTTGAGTTTGTCAATTTGGGTTCAAATAATCTACAGGGGAATATTTCCACTGCCATAGAAAATTTAACCTCTCTCACCACACTCGTTTTATCACACAACGAACTTTCTGGAGAAATACCGAGAGAAATTGGCAGCCTGTGCAAAATGCAAAGGCTGGACCTATCTTATAATAAGTTGGGAGGAAATATATCCGATTCGTCATTCGAAAATGTGTCAAGTTGCTTCTTAGGCAGTTTGGAATTTCTAGATTTGAGTATGAATCAACTTTCTGGTCATCTAACTCATATGTTGGGGTCATTTAAGCGGCTGGGAGCTCTCATGCTTGGCAGAAACTCATTATCGGGCGTGATTCCAAGCAATATAGGAAACTTATCTTCCCTTCAGTCTTTAGATATGTCTTATAACAGATTGAGTGGGAATCTCCCGGAGAGTGTTGGCCAACTTTTTAACTTGAAAGGTCTTCTCCTTCATTTTAATATGCTGGAAGGAGTCGTGACTGAAGCCCACTTTGCCCGTCTCTCGAAACTGACAGTTTTATCTGCCTCTGGGAACCACTTGACTTTAAACATAAGCAACCCCGACTGGATTCCACCATTCAAACTAGAGACACTTCTGTTGGGTTTATGGAGTTTGGGCTCAGACTCTCGGATTTTCTCGTGGCTCGGGACACAACAGAGTAGTATTTTAGAACTTGATTTATCTTCTACTGGAATCTCGAGCGACGTGCCCAGCTGGCTGTGGAGTGTCAAATATCTCAACCTCTCATATAACCAGCTCCATGGCCAGATTCCAGTTATAAGTGACCCTAAGATTGATGACGTTAATTATGGCCGATTCATATATTTGAGTTCCAACAATTTTAGTGGCCCATTGCCTCGTGTAGGAAACAAGGTGTCAGAGCTTGATCTATCAAACAATTCGTTTTCGGGAGGCATATCCCACTTTGTCACACCTCAACTCAGTATTTAGCTAGAATTCTTGATCTCGGGGGAAACCGTTTAAGTGGCGAACTACCGGAATGTTGGATGACTTGGCCAGTCCTGCAAGTGTTGAATTTAGGCAATAACAACTTCTCTGGAAGAATACCAAACTCTATTGGTTCTCTAACATACTTGGTGTCTTTGAATCTAAATGACAACAAGCTTTCTGGCCATATACCCCTTTCAATTGATAAGTGCTTGAAATTACTGAAGATGGACGTTGCCCGTAACAATCTTGATGGGAGCATGGGAACATGGATATGGACAAGCTTGTCCGGATTAAAGTATCTCATTTTACGCTCGAACAACTTCGATGGAGAATTAAATCCATCCATCTGCCAACTCACCTCTCTTCAAATCTTGGATCTCTCAAACAACAGGTTCTCAGGGGTAATGCCCAGCTGTGTAGACAGTTTTACTGCAATGACTACAACACGAAGCCTTCCTGAAGGTAAATTCGACTATGGAGCACCGGGATATTCATTTTACTATGGAGAAACAGGATATTCACTTCACCCGAGAGCATTTATAGAGAGTGCATCGATCAACATTAAGGGCAACGAACTCCACTACGACACCATTCTCCCATTGGTTACAGGCATCGACCTTTCTGAAAATAATTTTTCAGGCGAAATCCCGAGGGAGATAACGAGTCTAGTGGAATTGAAATCACTCAACCTATCGGGAAATAATTTCACAGGCACGATTCCGGACAACATTGGAAACATGAAGCAACTCGAGTCCCTTGATTTCTCGAGGAACTCTCTGTCCGGCGAAATTCCTAATAGCTTCACAACTATGACTTCTTTGGAGTATCTGAATCTGTCTAGCAATAACTTGACTGGGAGAATTCCTGAAAGCACCCAACTCAGGGGCTTTACCGAGTCGAGCTTTGATGGGAACAATCTTTGTGGGCCGCCACTATTTTCTTGCACTGAGGAAGGAGAAGTCGTTAGAGCAGCTGATGCAGAACGTGAGAAGCGGGAGATTGAATGGTTTTACGTGTGCCTTAGCTTAGGATATGCTGTCGGACTTTCGCTTGTCGTCACTGCCTTCATGTTGAAGAAGCCAAGGGAAGCGTACTATGGATTCTTACAGGACACGTGGGACAATGTGTATGTATTTTTCT